GGCAAAGGCCGAGGCTGCGCGCGGAGCACCGGGCGCCGTCCCAACCAGCCGCGGCCGGTCACCGTGGACAGCTCCAAGGCCAGGACCTCTTTGGAAGCCCTGAAGATCAGCATCCGTCAGCTCAAGTGGAAGGAGGTGAGGCCCGGCCTGCCGCGGGGCACAGGGGGGTAGACAGGACGACCAGGTCGGCGGTCCAGGGCTGCTGCAAACTGCTCATCCTTCAAGGCCTAGCCCCAGAGTCACCTTCAGGTCAAGTTAGCCTCCTCTGACTGCCCTACAGCTCTTTCTGTTTTTCGGCCATTAGCACTGACTTTTCATGTAGAGTCTACAGTTTGTAGACACTGCTTTATATGTCTGTCTGTCTTCTCTGCCAGATGTGAGTTCCTGGAGCCAGGATTCCCTCTCCTTCCCTTCATTTAAGTTATATTTGTTTTGTACTTACTGTGTGACTCTTGGGTAGGTTAACAGTTCGTACTTGGGAGATAGGCAGACCAAGGGTCTCACTCCACCCTACTATTGAGCTGCACAACTTTGAGTAAGTTGCTTTTCTCTTTAGCCTATTAGCCTTCGTGAAAGTGAAGCCAACAACACCTAACTCACCCCTTTGTTAGTGTTTGAAAACCTACTGCTGACTGTTATATAGCACAGATAGTCAATAAATAACTTTTAAAAATACTACCCTCCTCTATCTCCTTTTCCACCACCACCACCTTCATCGTTATTGTCAGCTCAGGGCACTGTGTCTTATGATTCAGGGGTTGAAATATAGCAGGTGTCAGCAATTGGTGATGACAGGGCAAATAAAGAGATGAGTTACTCATCCTTGAACTCATTTTAAACCTTTTGGGGTCTGGGATGAAGTGCTCGTGACTTCCAGAAGTTTTGTTGCAGTGAACTGAATGCATAAAGCTGTTTGTCTGTGTAGCATATAAGGCTGTTTAATGTACTTTTGGGAGTGTCAATATCTCGTTTTATGGTAGTCTGCTCTGGAGACTAGACCTAGAAGTTTGGCTGAGATTAGCAGGGATTGCACCAGGCAACTTGAGGACTCAACCCTGTGCCTTGGCTGTGGAAGATGTTAAACAGTGGTTTTATGAAGCTGGAACCTGCGGAGAGTGGCCATCAAAAGGACTGATGTTAATGTCCCAGTAGGAAAGAGTCATTTGGTTTGGAGGGAAATCAAGAATTGGGCAGGGGAGACTTCCAGATAGGTAAAGATTAGCTGTTGGGGAAATCTGATTACAGGTGTCAGAGCCCTCAGCCTTGGGGTGTGAGATTTAGGGGAGGACTTTAATGCCTGGGACAGCTGAGGGCTGGGGAGCAAGGGCATGCTCTTAGTTCTAGACTTTCTGGGTTTCTAGACAAGGTCTCAGGCCCATGTCAAAGATATAAGGCCAGAAAGGTAAAACTAAGCTAGCCAGTGGCAAAGTTGTAGTGAAGAGAAAATCCAGGGACAGAAACCTGGCTACAAAGTCAGGCTAGCTAGATTGGCTCCAGGAAGATCTGTTCTTAGCCCTATGGAAGACAAGATACAGGAGATGGGCTAAATCTTGTTCATTAGGCCAGATAGGCTCAGCCAACACAGCCCAGATTCCTTCATTCACTTGCAAATGTCCACTTGGCGGTGCCAAGTTCTCTGCTGGGCCCTGGAAATCATGCTTAAGTCGTAACCCTTGCCCTCAAGGACCTTGTAGTTCACCTGGACTAAAACAGAAAGAAATCATTGCAGTCATCACAGGGCCAGTGCTGCTTCCTTGTGAAATACTGGTTATCCAGTTATTTGCACTGTGATTCCTCTGTCATGTCTTCATATCCCTTATCAAATGCCACCTCCCTACAGAGGTCTTCTAAGATGTTGCTCCACCAGTCTCCAGCCCTTACTGTCACTCATTTTTTTTAATAGCACTGAACTCTACCTGACATTATATTATGTATTATTTGTTTATTGTCTCTTTCCCTCACCAGAATGTAAGCTCCTTGAGGGCAGGGGCTTTGTTTTGTTTACTGCTGTACTTGAAAGTGCTTGGCATATGGAAGTTGCTCAATAAATATTTGTGGATGGATGAATACATTTTATGTGACAAGTGTTTCTCTTTTTATATGTGAAGGTGTTGGTGCTGTGGGAGGCAGAGGAGGCCACTTCCAGAAGGGGTTTTGGAGGAGATAAACTCCAGCTGAGTCCCGCATGCTGAAAATGGGAGGAGTTATTTAGGAGCCAAGGTCTTTGGGTCAGTGGTAGAGAGAGTGGTGTGGGCAAAGCAGAGATACATCCAGGGCTTTGCATGAAGGTCATTTGGGCCGGAGTGAATGTAGAGTGGGAGCAGAACGATAAGAGATGAGGCTGCAGAAGTAAACGGGTCAGGTCATGTGCCACTCTTTGGAATTGGACTTTTTCTCGGAAATGAGCCTGTGTGCGCCTTCCAACCTGTGTAAGGGTCTTCCAATTATAGCCGTACAACTTTGGGCAAGAGAGTTAAACAAAACACTTCACGGCTCACTTTGTTTATCCATACAACGAGGGTGAGTAGAGCTAGTTCTGTGTCTTTCTGGTGCTGCAGCTGTGCAGTGGCAGTGTTAGCCTACATAAGACCCTTGTACCGGCGAGCCCAGTGGGATGGGCAGTTTCCAGGGCCCAACCTGTGACTGCCCCTTCCAGCCTGGGCCTGCCACCCTCTCCTCTCCGAAAGCATATTCATGTGTGTTTGGAGATGCCCAGTCTCGCATATTGGAACGTAATTCACTCTCAGCAGTAAGACTATTAGATGAGCTATTATTTACTTAACACCACTTTGCCAATTAATCTGTACAGTCCAGAAGATGGGGTTGGTGTCTGACTTATGCCCAGCACATTGTAGGTGCTCAGTATTCATCAAGTGCATGATGGAATAATAGCAACAGAGCTCATGGGTCACCCTGCTGCTCTAGGATATGAGGTTTGAAAAGTACCCAGTGAAACTTTAAAGCTCCTTTCTATTATAACATTCTGCAGAGTTGATTTCACGACAAGTAACATATATATGAAACTAGTACTGAAAAAGTGTAAACTCACAATCTCTCTAGGCCTCAGTTTCCTCAGGTGATGTTGGGCAAGATCATCTGTAAGCTCTATCACTGATGTTCTTGGAGCAAGAACTTCTCCTGGGGACTGGGGCAAAAGGTACTGAGCCAACTGAGTCCTCAGTTTCCCATGTGTTCTGGGGGGTGATGGTGAGATCATCTCTCATTTCCAACACTAATGTTTTTGGAGCAAGAACGTCCACTTGGGGCTGGGACAAAAGGCACTGAGCATCGGTGTCCCTTGCATGTCATGCTGTGCTACTGTTGCAGAGTGTGGCAGTACTGGTGGACTAGCTTTGACAGAGGTGGATGGGTAGCCCAGGTTAAAAAAAAAATCATGAACGCTAACCAGAGACAAGCTGCATCTCCTTTTGTGAGTGCATAGTGAGGTGCTATAAAACATGGTCCACTTAATGCGGGTAATAAGCCAGCCCATTAATTCAGAAGTTTGCTCAGCTACTAGGTATCTAATCTCCCTTCTTTCACTTTTCTTTATTCCACATACACTTAGCAACCATGAAAACCACAACTGTGAACTCTTACTCTGAATCAGGTGCTATTTTTAAGCACTTTATACATAGACAACTCATTTTTTATTCACTCAACAACCCAGCAAAATGCCTTATTATGCCCATTTCACAGATAAGGACATTGAAGTAGAGATCATCCAGCTAGCGAAGGGAGAGCCAGCCTTTGAAACAGGGAATCCATATTGGACCAGTCTTTGTTTCTGTGCTCTTCTCACTGTTGCCTGCTGACTGTGTTGGCAGAGTGTAGGTGAGGGGCTGCAGCTGGAGATATGAGCAGAATGCACTCTACTCTCCAAGAGCTCCCAGGATAGAGGGACAGACCTGCAGACAGACAGTTACAGTCTTGTCTGGGAGTAGAGTGGGCAAAGGCACTCCATAAGGAGAGGGAACGACGTAGGGCGTGTGGGCAGGTTCTGGAAAGCAGGATTGGGATGCTGGCAGCTTCGGTAGCATGCAGAGGTTGGAGAGAACTGAAGGAGGGGCCAGGTCACAGAGCACATTGAAGGCCATTGCCAAGAAGCTTGCACTCCTGCCTGCGTCTGCTCACAGATTGCTTGCCATATATAGACCCAGCTTTCCTTACCCAGTCTCCTTCTGTCTCACGCCAACTCTCTGACGGTTTAGTTTTCAGTCATAGCCATTCTAGGAAGGTCTAATTCAGCTGCATCTACCGTGTGAAATTTGTTTCTGAAAGGGAAAATTCACAGATGGTAGTTTTGTAAACTTGTAAGATAAGAATAAAGTTATTCTCAAATAGCAAAGTCATGTGTACAAAGTCACTGCTAAAGTTGCAGTAGGAGAGGGGACAGTTCCTGGTTCACCATGAAGGCTTCATCTGTGCAGCTGCGTGGCCCTCTTCTAGTTATGGGAGTTTCTCTTTCCATCCCCTGCAAATTCTCTTGCAATCTTGCCACCCTTGTTAAAGAAAACCTTAGAGAAAAGATACCGTAGAGAATAGATGCCACTGTTGTTGTGAGCTGCCCTCCTTGGAGATGGAGGCTGTGTATGTGTGCACAGTGGTGCATGGACAGGAGCCAACATGAAAGAGGGCTCTGAAAAATTTGATGGTGGGACCTTTGTTAATGGCTTTGCATAGGCCCCTGTCCCAGTGTGCGCTTTTTGTTTCAGAGACTCCGAATCACATGTTGTTTTCTTATTTATCCGTCTTTTCTTTGGAACATACACATTTACTATAATGTATAATATTAGCTACTCTTTATTAAAAATCTGATGTGAGGGCCGGGGATTTAGCTCAGTGGTTCCACCACCTGCCTGGCAAGTGCAAGGTCCTGAGTTTGATCCCTGGTACCAAAAAAAAAAAAAAAATAAATAAATAAATAAATAAAAAATCTAGTATGAGTCAGGCACACACCTATAATCCCAGCACTCTGGGAGGCTGAGGCAGAAGGATTGCAAATTCAAGGCCAGCCTGGTCATTTCAGTAATTTGCACTCTATCTCAAGATAAAGAGCAAAACAAAAGGCTGGAGGCATAGCTCAGTGCCAACACCCTGAGTTCAATTCCCAGTACTGAAAAGAAAAGCTAATA